AACTTTCAGGCTGCGCATTTGTGTCAGTCGACAGTACCTACTTCCCCAGGAGAAGCCATTTTTCTCCAACTTCCTACCAGTCTCCCCCTAGGCAGTACAAGACTAGCAGAGAGGTGTTAAGGAAATAGTCAATGAGTAAACTGAGGGCAGCAAATTTATCTTTCTTCTTTCAAAAGTGACTTCAAGATACTATAGCCATTTCCTCACTCAGACCCCAGCATCATATCTATTTAACGAGTAAGGGACATAAAGTGTCCTTTATGTCCAAACCAAACACCAACACTACCCTTAGCATTTACTGTGTTCTTCACACACACGCACTCCTTTATCATGACATCAAGACGCCCATGGTTTTTGATTTTGTCCTTCAATCTTAGATGCCAGGATCCACCTGAGTCCATGTGATAAGCGTTCAGTGTATGAAAGCACGTTTGTATTAGCTCTCACTGCAAATACTCAGTCTTGCCTGGACTGGTTTATTGAGTTGATTCAAGTTAAGTATAAAGGTTAATGGTCTATAGTCAATCAGCTTACTTCAAAATACAACATGTGCGTGCGCGCGCACACACACACACACAGAGATGCTGTTTCTTGCCTGGAAACTTCCCCTCTCAGGCAAGATAGCTATCAAAAATTATACGTTTGTGTATCCAGGAACTCAAGAGAGGGCAGATCACCCTCACCAATTCATCCTACTACTAGGAGATGGCGGAAGACGAGCACAATTTTTTGTAGCTGATATTCTGGTGGGCAGTAAACAGATGAGGGTTAAGGAAGCTTTCAACTAAACAATTCCATATTTCATGCACACCCTGAGTCACAGCAGGCAGGAAGTTGAAAGCAAAACCTTACTCTTGAACCATAATAGTCCTCAGCATCATGAAGAGGATCTGGGCATCCTTGTGAGAACGTGTAAGACGCTACACTGGATATTCAGTCTCTCAGAGCTTCACTGCAGATTAGTTTTAATAGTTTCAAGAAAGCTGAGATTGTGGAAAAACGGCTTAGGAACCAAAGCACTTGCACAATTTTTTTCTCCTGCCTAAATTAGAACAATTTCAAGTACATGTATGTGTAGATACAGGAGGAATATAACTTCAAGCAAAAGCCTCTGGTTTCCTTTATCTTCCTTAGGAGAGGATGAAGTCAAAGATTCCTCCTAAATCTCAGAAGAGAACCAATTTCTACAGAGGTGGATTTGAAAGCAAATCTCAGTGTTTGTTATTCCATTCTCAATTTAACATCTGGCCCTTTCAGATAAATGCAGAATTCTAGGTACTGAAGAAAACTGTAGCAACAAATGCCCACTTTTATCTCATCTGACATAACAAAAAGCCTCAGGAATGATGTCAAAAGATAACTTATCTCAAACATATAGGGCGGGAAACACCAACAGCTCTTCCTCTAAGACGGGCAGGGTCACATCAGATAGATGGGATGTTTTTAAGAAAATTAATTGCATTGCACTTGAAGCCGTTTTCAAACAACCAGCTCCAGAATCGTCTTCCCAGAAACAAAACAAGGGTAGCCCCTGCTGCCAGTGGGAAGATGTTTTCAACAGCATCTTCATTAAACCAAGGGATTTCTGATGGTCTCAGATTTGCTTCTGATCACAACACAGAAGCCTCGTGGGGAAGAACTGAGATGGTGGTAGCCAGGCAACCTGGCCATTAACCTTCTTCCTCCAGCCTCGCCCAGTCATAGTCAGCCTGATGGGTTCCCAGATAAACTGTCCCTCAGCAGGCTCCGAGGCAGAGGCTGGGAGCTGGAATGTGACTCATTGTCCCAAGTCTAGTCTCAGCCTGGCTCACCCGCCGTGCTCAGCAGGCATCTCCTGCTGACTGGGGGACCCACATGTAGGGCTGGACACCTCCTCCCTGGCGGGGGAGCCCTTTCCCGGCGGGGCAGCCTGCGTAACTGAGACC